ATTTATTTATTTCTTATAAACGATATACAGGATCAAATCTAACGATAAATCCGTGTCTTATAAAATACGTTTATAGTAGCATAAATTGTATAAACATAAATATACCTTTTAACATTATTTGCAAATACATAAAACTTGACTGCAGAATGCATTTATATTATAATTTAAACAGTTTTCTTAAGATGATTCTACTTTATTTTTTTTCGAAAGAAAAGGATTTTAAATTTAAATATCTGTAGATTTATCAATCATCTTTCATTATTAAAGACATGAAGTAGTTTACATTATTAAATTTTGTAATTTAAATTAACTTGTTTGTTTGACTTTACTTAATGTTTCATTAGAATGAATTGAATAAAAAAATGTTTATTGAAGAATTGACAAATTGATTATATCAAAGTATTCAAACAACAATGATTTAACCTAAAGTTATTTTATAATGTATTTGAGGAAAAATAATAATAATTTTGTTTTCCTTTACATCATAAAAATTGGATAAAGAATGTTTAAAATTTTTAAATTTATAAATGTTATAGACTTTTATATATTTTATAAATAGATTTTATATTTATAAAGCATTTACATACATACAATAATATTTACACATTTAACATTTTTTTAAAACTTCTTTAAGACTTTAAAATTAAGGAAACACTTTATAATTCAAATTATTATAATATTTTTTTTTATTTTTATGTGAAAAGCTCATTAAAATTTGTTATATAAATTTGTATTTTCCTTTAAAAAGAAAATACAACTTGTTTAAATTTAATATATTTTATATATTAAATAAAACTAAATTATATAACGTGTATTATATTATATNAATTTAGTGAATCTTATTATAAAATAATAAGCTTACTATGAATATACTTCTACTATGATGCCTTTTATAAATCAAAATATTTTAATTGATTGTTTTTTATTATTATTATTATTCAAGTATGTTTAGTAAGCATGTTTTCCTTAACTAAATACAATAAAAAATCAGGATAAATTCACAAGTTAGCGTTTTGAAATAAGGTGACTATCATAATGGTTATAACATTATGATTAATTATAAATATACAAATTTCTATTCTTTATTATTTCGTTAATATTACATTATTACGCTAAAAAATTGAATAAAAATATTAATTTTTTTATTTATATTACACGAATCTCTAAATATAATAAATAAATGTCTGCAAGACATTTTTTATCATCAAAAGTTACATATAAAATCATTAAATTTGTCTGAATATATGCAGTTGTCGCAATTTTTACTCATATATATCGAATGATTAGATACAGTTTTCATTACATTAATTTAATTTACGTAATTAATACTAGGATTATTTTATTTTTTACAATTATTTGTATTTAATTTTTAGTTCAAGAATATGATTTTAATTATAATCTGAGAATATATCTTTATTTAAATCTTGCACTGATATAACTATTAATATCTGCCTCTTACATTGACGTGTGTATGATTTACTGAATGGTTAACTAATTGGAACGTTCCTGCTATAAAAACTGGCATACAAAAACAATACAGAATAGCAGTTTACCTTTTAAACAAACTAGAGACTTAATACAAATAATTTTATTTATAGATATTAAATGAAACATTCAAGTGGCCCATATTAGTCGGTACTTCAAACGTCCAAATAAGATAGTTAGCCATTGAAAATGCACGCTAAAATCTGAACAATGAGATACAGTATACATATACAATGTAAAAGTATATTTCATAGGCACGTATAGAATTAATCTATTATTTTGAATATTATTTATTTTTATCCTTCTTGATTATTTTGATAAATAATAAGTTTGCTATTTTCTAATCTACTATCTTAAATATATTTTTTAAAAACGCTTATACAAAAAATTTGATTATATTATCGTTCTAAAACCGTCGTATTACCTAAAAAGTTAGCTGAAAACAAGCAATTATTTATTGTGACATCGTCACAATGCCGGACTGCATTTTTTAAATCATATTTTTAATTTATTTCATTTAAAATATATTCTTTCCACCTCAAATTAGTAGTGACTTGCCCCTGTAAATAATACTTTTTCGTTAGCAGTGGAGTCGTGCCGATCATCTATTTTACTCCTTTCAGGGGAAAATTTTTGAATTGAAATAACGTGACTTCTGGTTTGCATCGGAAGTCCGTATATAGTTAATTTCCTTTATATAAGCTTTCTATATCTTGTCTTTAATTTCATTTATCTAACATTGTTCTCAAGATTAAGGAAAGACAACAGAGGGACGACAGGTGAGAGCATATATTTTAAATTAAAAAGGTTTAAAATATAATTGAAAATTGCATAATAAATAATTGCTCATGTTTTTTTCTGTTTTTCCGGCTTTTATGTAGAGTTTTTTATGCTGTAAATTTTCAAAACCATGTTACAATAAGTCATAGCATCTTGTTTCTTCAACTAAGAATCATAAAAGTGTTAATGCCATGAAATGATTAATATACATGAAGTTATTCAGAAATCTGAAATAATCCAATGCAATAAAAACAGATTTCTTTCCTCTAAACATTAAAATATGTATTTCAGAAAAATATTTTTTTAAATATCAAGAAAAAGTTTCATAAATAAATATTGTTAGAAAATAAATCTAATAAATTTTAAAGTTCTATATATAACATTATTTGTGTGGATATGTTTTAATGTAACTGATTCTTTAGACCTATATTTACTTTCCCTAATTTACAATCTAAATTTTTTTGAATCAAATTAATCATTAATCAAAAAACTTTAAATACATTTTTTTCTTCAGCTTTCTTTTAGTGAAAAGTTTTAGTGAAAAATCTTTAATAGTGCTTGTATTGTGAATAACATGTCTTACGACTTAAGCTTTCCTTTGGTTTTAATGTAGCCTTTTACTTATAATATGCATTCAAAATTTGTTTAGATTAAAATAATATAATAAAATATATTATTATATATTTTATTATATTGATTTATATAATAAACTCAATTTAACTCTAAGATGTTAGCTCTATTTCAGGCAGAAAAGTTTAAGCCTTTTATTACTTTTATCAAACTTTTCATCAGCTGTATGTCATCAAGCGCTTGTTCTTCTCTTTTCTATTTCTTCTCTCCTTTACTTCTTGCTTCCAATCTTCTATTTTAAGGTCTTTGGGTCTTAGAAATCGCATAATGCGGAATTGGGTCAAGAATTCTATTTCAGGTCTGTTTTAATTGGACGTTACAAAAATCGTTTGTATTTCTCAATTCCCTAACAACTCTAGAGATAAAAGTTACTTTGTTTTATATAAATCATAAAGTTTAGTTTAAAACTTTAAGTCTATATTTGAAAATTTTGAAAAATATTTCTGTTATAAAATAATTTGAAATTAAAATAATTGAAGATTTTGATTTTGTCGAAACAGTATATGTCAAATGTTAGTATTAGGCCTATGTAGATTAAAATTCCTCAACCGTTTAAACGTGAAGTTATATTGTAAAAAAAATTAATAATTAGCAAAAAATAAAACATAAGTGCCATAAATAGATAAATTATATAAATATTAGCAAGGATGTGAAACACTATCTCAAAGATAAAGGACTTTATTATCATGCTACTTATTCTTCATTTTTTCTTTATCAAACTGTTATTTTAAACAAAATTATATCAAACTAACTTTTAATTTTTATAAAATAAAATAACTTTATCATCATTAGGTTGAGATTAGTGTATAAATGTTTTAAAATACATAATGTTTAAGATACGTTAACTATACACGTAGCCTATATAAATTTTCATTTATTTAATTAATCTATTTTTTAAAATAAAAATATAAAATAAATCTTACTTTAAATAGTTTTCAGTTTTTTTTAAAATAATTCCTATATTTTTAAAAAATAAATAAATTATAAACTTTTCTTTGTAAATAAATAGGCGACAATTTATATTAATTTTAAATGATTAACATTTGAATAGAGCTTTAAATCATTTAAAAATTTAGTTGTTTCAGTAAAATTATTATTTATAACTCAAATATATATATACACGTATATATAAATACAAAATATTTGGATTATTAATGTTGTAACTTGGGAAAATTTACTAAAAAAATCTCAAGGAGTGCATATAATATTTTATTAAAAACTCTAGAACATATTTAAACAAGATGAAAGCAACAATATGAAAATAAATTTCCCTTTGAAATGAATCTTTAAAGTAAAATGATAGTTTACAGTAAAAAATAAAAAATAAAATAAAAATACTTTTTGACTTTATTAAGTTTTGTAATAAAAGAATTGTTGCAATTTCTAAATATTTTATAATATATTTAAAATGTATATTAATAAATAATAAATATAAATATTTATCGAAATATAATAAATTTTTTATCTGAAAAATATTAATAAAATTCGATAATATGATGTATAATATAAAATTAAAAAGTTTATTAGATTTTTAATGATGTATTAAATATTAAGTGTAATTTAATTGCATTTAATAACTTGTTTGCTATTATAGATAAATTTAATAAAATAAATTAGACAATATTTAGAATTATTGCATTACTGTTTATATTGATAAATCTACATAACGGTAAGTTTATGAAACAATCAAATAGTTGTTCTGATAAATTATAAACATTTATTATCAGATGTATTATAAATATATTAATTTCATAATAATGAATATTAATTATAATACAATCTATCAATTGGAAATCGATGAGTGAAAAATAACTAACATTCTAAATAGGGAAAAATTATTTGACTTCAATAGAATCGAATTTACTGCTATTTTTACGGTTGTATTAAACTTTTTCTCTATTTTGGCTCTTATAATAGACACGTGACTTACATATTAACAATTTAGCATTGAATATTCTTCTATTAAAAATGTTTTACATTTTTTACAGATATTCACAAATATTTAAAAATATATATATTAATTTCAATTATTTGTATCATAGGCTAAATAATTATGCATATAAGAAAAGGATTATAAATAGTTACTTTACGATTATTATTTTTAGCAAATACTTCAAACCGTCGTCTTTGACTGCAAGAGTTGCCTATATTTCATGGTTTTCAGTGCCTTCGATTGGGCATTGTACGTTCCAACGGCACAACCTCTTCAGTTCAGTTAGAGATTGTACTGTATTCGTCTTCCCTGCCAGCATTTGCCAGACATAACTCTCATCAAGGTAAATTACTAATTACGAAATTGCAAAAACACTACTTCGGCAGATAAATTATATTAGCTTTTTAATCAATTTTAACAAGACTTAGATTCTAAACATAATGTTAAGAATATATTAGCTCGTACGATATACACACATTTTGTGTGTGTATATATACAATTATATTTAGTATATTTTCATTCTTTTCCTCTTTTAGAACAATTACATCAATAGTTTATTTATTTTTATCCTAAGATATTAATTTTGCAAATAGAAACGTGAATATTAAATTAATAAAATATAATGCTTAGTGTATGATAATGTCTCTTTGGTATTTTTTGAACATTACTCATCACTCCCTAGAGGTCTTGAAAAGTTATAAAATTTAATAACTGAACCATTATTTTTTGTATAATTATTTTTCATAGATAAATATTCAAATATATTTTATATTATTAACTTATATAAGTTACGTTTTAATTTTTTTGAATTTGTCTTATTAAAATATTTTTTAAAAATTATAATAAAAACGATAATTATTATTACAAAAAATTATAATTTTCTTAAAATAAAAATCATATTCTATAAAAAATATATATATAATCTCTGTAGCCAGTTCAATATTAAACCTGTTAATTTGTAACTTATATAATTAATCCCACTAAAAATTCTGATAAGAAAATTACCGTATGAATATTAATTTAATTTAGGTTAAATTTTATACAGTTATTAAATCGAGACGATAATAACATTAGATTTTTTAATACTTTTATTAAAGTCTACAGAACTATTAATGCTATAGAAAACTACTCAACTATAGTAGCTGTTACATATTAATGTATTCACTAATTATCGAAAGATAAATATCTGCAATGCTACTGTCTAGTATANCTTTTTTTTAAATAAATCATAAAGTTTAGTTTAAAACTTTAAGTCTATATTTGAAAATTTTGAAAAATATTTCTGTTATAAAATAATTTGAAATTAAAATAATTGAAGATTTTGATTTTGTCGAAACAGTATATGTCAAATGTTAGTATTAGGCCTATGTAGATTAAAATTCCTCAACCGTTTAAACGTGAAGTTATATTGTAAAAAAAATTAATAATTAGCAAAAAATAAAACATAAGTGCCATAAATAGATAAATTATATAAATATTAGCAAGGATGTGAAACACTATCTCAAAGATAAAGGACTTTATTATCATGCTACTTATTCTTCATTTTTTCTTTATCAAACTGTTATTTTAAACAAAATTATATCAAACTAACTTTTAATTTTTATAAAATAAAATAACTTTATCATCATTAGGTTGAGATTAGTGTATAAATGTTTTAAAATACATAATGTTTAAGATACGTTAACTATACACGTAGCCTATATAAATTTTCATTTATTTAATTAATCTATTTTTTAAAATAAAAATATAAAATAAATCTTACTTTAAATAGTTTTCAGTTTTTTTTAAAATAATTCCTATATTTTTAAAAAATAAATAAATTATAAACTTTTCTTTGTAAATAAATAGGCGACAATTTATATTAATTTTAAATGATTAACATTTGAATAGAGCTTTAAATCATTTAAAAATTTAGTTGTTTCAGTAAAATTATTATTTATAACTCAAATATATATATACACGTATATATAAATACAAAATATTTGGATTATTAATGTTGTAACTTGGGAAAATTTACTAAAAAAATCTCAAGGAGTGCATATAATATTTTATTAAAAACTCTAGAACATATTTAAACAAGATGAAAGCAACAATATGAAAATAAATTTCCCTTTGAAATGAATCTTTAAAGTAAAATGATAGTTTACAGTAAAAAATAAAAAATAAAATAAAAATACTTTTTGACTTTATTAAGTTTTGTAATAAAAGAATTGTTGCAATTTCTAAATATTTTATAATATATTTAAAATGTATATTAATAAATAATAAATATAAATATTTATCGAAATATAATAAATTTTTTATCTGAAAAATATTAATAAAATTCGATAATATGATGTATAATATAAAATTAAAAAGTTTATTAGATTTTTAATGATGTATTAAATATTAAGTGTAATTTAATTGCATTTAATAACTTGTTTGCTATTATAGATAAATTTAATAAAATAAATTAGACAATATTTAGAATTATTGCATTACTGTTTATATTGATAAATCTACATAACGGTAAGTTTATGAAACAATCAAATAGTTGTTCTGATAAATTATAAACATTTATTATCAGATGTATTATAAATATATTAATTTCATAATAATGAATATTAATTATAATACAATCTATCAATTGGAAATCGATGAGTGAAAAATAACTAACATTCTAAATAGGGAAAAATTATTTGACTTCAATAGAATCGAATTTACTGCTATTTTTACGGTTGTATTAAACTTTTTCTCTATTTTGGCTCTTATAATAGACACGTGACTTACATATTAACAATTTAGCATTGAATATTCTTCTATTAAAAATGTTTTACATTTTTTACAGATATTCACAAATATTTAAAAATATATATATTAATTTCAATTATTTGTATCATAGGCTAAATAATTATGCATATAAGAAAAGGATTATAAATAGTTACTTTACGATTATTATTTTTAGCAAATACTTCAAACCGTCGTCTTTGACTGCAAGAGTTGCCTATATTTCATGGTTTTCAGTGCCTTCGATTGGGCATTGTACGTTCCAACGGCACAACCTCTTCAGTTCAGTTAGAGATTGTACTGTATTCGTCTTCCCTGCCAGCATTTGCCAGACATAACTCTCATCAAGGTAAATTACTAATTACGAAATTGCAAAAACACTACTTCGGCAGATAAATTATATTAGCTTTTTAATCAATTTTAACAAGACTTAGATTCTAAACATAATGTTAAGAATATATTAGCTCGTACGATATACACACATTTTGTGTGTGTATATATACAATTATATTTAGTATATTTTCATTCTTTTCCTCTTTTAGAACAATTACATCAATAGTTTATTTATTTTTATCCTAAGGTATTAATTTTGCAAATAGAAACGTGAATATTAAATTAATAAAATATAATGCTTAGTGTATGATAATGTCTCTTTGGTATTTTTTGAACATTACTCATCACTCCCTAGAGGTCTTGAAAAGTTATAAAATTTAATAACTGAACCATTATTTTTTGTATAATTATTTTTCATAGATAAATATTCAAATATATTTTATATTATTAACTTATATAAGTTACGTTTTAATTTTTTTGAATTTGTCTTATTAAAATATTTTTTAAAAATTATAATAAAAACGATAATTATTATTACAAAAAATTATAATTTTCTTAAAATAAAAATCATATTCTATAAAAAATATATATATAATCTCTGTAGCCAGTTCAATATTAAACCTGTTAATTTGTAACTTATATAATTAATCCCACTAAAAATTCTGATAAGAAAATTACCGTATGAATATTAATTTAATTTAGGTTAAATTTTATACAGTTATTAAATCGAGACGATAATAACATTAGATTTTTTAATACTTTTATTAAAGTCTACAGAACTATTAATGCTATAGAAAACTACTCAACTATAGTAGCTGTTACATATTAATGTATTCACTAATTATCGAAAGATAAATATCTGCAATGCTACTGTCTAGTATATCAGATATTACTTTAACTTAATTGCGAAAATGAAAAAAGACAGAAAATTGCTAACCAATGCCATCAATTTCGTAAATAAATACAGTATAAGGAACTTTCTTTGAAAGATTTATTTTAAAAGAAAGTGTTAAATCAAAATAACAGTCCGGGATTTTGAACAGTATTTGAACATTAAAAACAATAAAGTTTATAAAAAATTGAAAGTGTAAAAAAAATATCGAATCAAAGAAAAAGCTGAGAGATAGATGTTCCAATAGGGAACTTTAACTGTGTCTCCTTTTTCTAACAATAGATAGCACTTGGGATACTAAAGAGGAACGTGAAAAAAGCAGAATATATCACCCTTGGGGTCTACACTAGTGTGAACTGTAACTCTATTGGTAGACGAAATGCAGCCGTCTGAATTCAACAAAATAAGCAACTTTCCATCAAACAAACAGTTTTATTTATAGAGTATTTCTAAAACTACACCATATTAATTTTTATTTAAATATTTTAATACTAGAATATATTAAAAAATAATATTTAATAAAAGGTTCTCCGATAGAGGTAACAAGAATTCAATAAATTATAAACAAATATTCACATATTAAACACTAATAATTATTTTTAAATATTATTTTTAAGCTATATTAAATTGTGACATATCTGGATTTATTAATGAATGCTGTTTTTATTTTAAAGCTGGCAAAATATAAAATATAAAATATTTTATTTTCTATATTATTAGTGTGTTAAATGATTAAAAAATATTTAAAATAATCGAAATAATGTATTTTAAATGTAATTTTATTTTTAAAAAGTATATGTAAAAATAATACAGTTGCTAATTTTTTCCATCTTCTTCTATTATTTATGTAGAAAGATGCTAGTGCTTTAACCACAAAATTGAATAAAGAGTAATATTATTTGATAGAAAGTACTTAAAATACAATACTTATTAAAATTTCAGGTGAAATGTCTTCAAATATTTATAATAAAAGTGAATTACGATAAATATAGATAAGCTATTTCATATAGAAAACTCGAAAGTATCATAAATTCTAAAAAAGAATTTAAAGTGACGTTTTTAAAATTTTAAGGAAATGATTTAGAACTTTCAAAAAGAAAAAAAAATCATCACCGAAAATATTACCGATATTTGGAACTTCAAAAAGAATGCAGAAGCAAAATCTTAAAAGGAAAAATTTGTGTCGAAGAATGACGTCATTGAGCTTAAGTTGGTCACGTAATAAAACCGCAAAAAACTACTCTCTTGGAATACTAAAATATTTTTGGTATAAGGAGCAGTTTGTTTGTAGAGTTTAAATTTTTTTTAACTCTTTGGATAGAGTTTTAGCGACGAATACCGAAAAATCTGAA